GTGTGTGGGGGGGTAGGGTGTGTGTGGGGGGGTAGGGTGGGGTGTGGGGGGGGTAGGGTGTGGGGGGGTAGGGTGTGTGTGTGGGGGGTAGGGTGTGTGTGTGAGGGGCAGGGTGTGTGGTGGGGGGGTAGGGTGTGTGGGGGGGGTAGGGTGTGAGGGGTAGGGTGTGTGTGGGGGGGGTAGGGTGTGAGGGGTAGGGTGTGTGGGGTGGGTAGGGTGTGTGTGTGGGGGGTAGGGTGTGGGGGGGTAGGGTGTGTGTGGGGGGTAGGGTGTGTGTGTGTGAGGGGCAGGGTGTGTGTGTATGGGGGGTAGGGTGATGTATGTGGGGGTTGGGGTGGGGGTGGATGGGGATTGTCATTGTTTTACCTTTCTGTCCCAAACGTACGTTCACCTGCCTGTTTTTCCTTACTTTATTTCTGTGCTTATATTTTTGTTCCCTCCCCCACACACTTACATTTCTTTATCCAAATTAGACTAATTATCTTAAGTTCAAGAAGACAAAGTATGATTTCATAAATTTGTGTTTTTATTGTAGGGGAAACAATGGCACAGGGGATGTGGCCCCACTCCCCATGCTGGCTTCTCCCCTTGATTTCAGAGGCTTCACAGGTCCAAGGGCACAGCATGAAATCGATGAGGGTGTGCAAATGTAAGGGTGTGGCTGATGGTGAGAAACAGGAGCACAGCTCACGTTCAGAAGCCTCGCTGTGCTGAGTGAGGAAGGGCTTCAGCTGCATGAGGGAACCATTTGTGTATCTCCTCCTGTCCTTTCTATGCTCATACTGTGTGTTCAGGATAGCCCCTCACAGGTATGCCAGAGGCTAGCTTCATCTAGAAAATTCCTCCATGATGCTTAAGAGGCTAGCCTAATCTACAGAACTGCTCACAGGTGTTTCCAGGGGCTAGTCTCATCCAGAACCCCCCCCATAGGTGCTCCCAGAGGCTAGCCTAATCTACAGAACCCCTCACAGATGCTCCCAGAGGATCCTAGATCCTGTCAGTTGACAACATTAACCACCATATCATGTATACTGAGCTTTGAATTTTGGGCAAAAGTGAGCATGGATACCAATCATAAGCCAACAGACTTAGACTGTTTCATCTGACTGAAATACAGTATGGGTGGGACTTACATTTTTAAGTTGAAGCCTTCAAGGATTCAGTTCCCAAGTCTCGTTACTTTATAGAACCTCTGTTTATACTTGGTAGATCTCAGTTGACATTTAGAGACAGTCATAACTAAAGAGTGGCGGGTGCGGGGTAGCTATGTGAGGGACAGTTTGGTGCTGTTCTGTCATCATGCTCGCAGATTCTAGACTTCAGCGTTCAGAACCACTTTTCCTCTCAGTGGACAGGCTGTGGCTCTAGTTTGTGGGTTTTAGATATTGTAGAAACACGTGACTGACTGCATGTGTGTACTTTCCTGTGTGTAGTATGCAGGCAGGAGTGAATGTGTAAGGATGTGGGTGCACGTGTGTATGAAGATGGATTTACACAACTGTGTGCATGTATATTGAGCCAAGAGGTTGAGGTTGTGTCTTTCTTGATCATTTCCACCTTATATATTGAGACAGGATCTTCTATGTGAGACAAAAGCTTATTGATCTGGCTATTATGGCTAACTAGCTTGATCCAGGGCTCCAGTCTCTGCCTCCCAAGTACTGGCATTTCAGGCATTTATGTGGGTGCTGGGGATCCAAACTCTGGTTTTCCTGCTTACCCAGACAGTGCTTCACCTGCCAAGCCTTCTTTTCATCCCTGAGGTTTTTTTTTTTGTTTGTTTGTTTATTTTGTGTGTGTGTGTGTGTGTGTGTGTGTGTGTGTGTGTAAATTCTTAGGAACTTCTTTAGATATTTCAAATAGAAGCAACACCTGTTGAGAGTACAAAGTAGATAATGTGTAAGATTATTATGTATACCTATTGCTAACACTTAACCCAAGCTGCTGCTGCTTCTTTTCACTGAAAATGCTATCTTCACTAAGGCCTGGCAACAGTATGGTTTTTGCATATCCCAGTGGTAGAGATGTCATGCTAACTAATTAGTGTGTATTGACTTGGCTGAGCAATCCAGGGGTACAGACTGCATAGTCTGCTTCCTTTGAGAGGCTGATACTCAAGTGGAAATAGATATGGGAGACTTCTTCTTGTGTGAGACATTTCCCCTCCTCCCATACAGGGAAGAAAGTGATCATGGTTGATGGGGAGTTTAATGTGACACACATTTAAGCCAGGCCTAGTGGCACAGATCTATAATTCTAGTTGCTCAGGAGGCTGAGGCAGGAAAGTCATAGGTTCAAGGCCTGCCTGGCCGTCATAGTAAGTTCAAAGCAAATCTGGGCAACTAAATGAAACTCTGAAGAAAGGACTGAGGATATAGCTTAGTGAGAGAGTGCTTCCATAGTACATATGAGACCCCTGGTTTAATTCCTGATACTGAGAGAGAAAAAGAGAGGGAAGGAGGGAAGGAGGGAGAGAAGGAGATGTTTGTGTGTATTAGACTATTTAATGTTTATGGAGTGGAGTAATTTAATATAATCCTTGCTAAGTGAAACAGTATTTTTAAAGAGATGGAACTCTAGGCGAATTTAATAATATTTTTATCACTTTGTTAGTATGTGTGTGTTCAGTCCCTCCTGCAAAGGTGTGAGTTACGTTGACTGCAGAGCTTTACATGGCTTGCAAATATGATGGTCACTACAGAATGTGGTGCATATTTAAAAGCATATGCTGGGATTTGCATAGGTAGCCTGATTCTTTGCATTTCCAGGCTGCCAGAATAAAGCAAAGGAAGACAGAAAGGCTTTGGAAAGAAAACCCTGATGCTTTGAAAGCCATATTTAGAAACTACCATGAATGCCATGCCTATATATAGCGAACCTCTTTTAAGAAAAATAGCTCTCAGACTTTGTTGTATCTTCTGGGTCAGAGGTTTTGTTGAACATCAAGAGGGTGAGCTACAAAGACACGTGGATCTGTATAACCACGTTAGTCTTCTAGAAGCTCTGAGGTAGCCCTTATTTTGAGGACTAAAACCATGGTGTTCAATTATTTTCCAACATAAAAGAGCATGACATGACTTGCTGCCCTAGAGTGACTGACCTTGTTACCTTCTTGTTGGCTGTAGGTATTGTCATCTGTTCTGTGAGATGTAGGAAGATTTCAAAGAGTCGTTATTTTTGTGAGCCATCTCTCCTGCTCCGTTCTCCTTTTTTATTTAGTCTGATGCTCTAGCTCATGTTACAGCACTATCTGCATTTGGGGTGAATCTTCCCTCTTCAGTTAAGCCTCTTGAAATACACTCACAGACACAGCCAAAAGTGTGCTTCATTAATTTCCTATGTGTTTCTTAATCAAATCAAGTTGTTGATCAAAATTAAGCATCACCTACTTTCACTAGTAATGTGTAAGGGTGCTGATTTCTCTACATCCATGCAAACACTTGTCATTGTCTATCATTTTGATTTGATTACAGCGTACTAGTGCTTGGGAATGGTACCTCTCTATGATTCCCACTTGAATTTCTGTGACTGCTAATTACTAACAGCCATCTTTTCATGTGCTTATTATCCATTTACACACACACACACACACACACACACACACACACAGGAGAGTCACACCTTGAGATTCTGTGACTTCTTTTAAATTGAACTGTCTGTTATTATCTTATAAAATATGTTTTACAAATATTCCCATTCATCCTTTCACTTTCTTTACTTTGAAGCACTGTGTGTGTGTGTGTGTGTGTGTGTGTGTGTGTGTGTGTCTGTATCTGTGTCTATATGTGCATGTCTTAGGGTCTTTATAAGTAACTCCTGATATTCCTGCCTTAGCTTCCTGAGTGATGGGATTACAGACATGTAACATATGTAGCTAAAAGGTAAAATGATGATTCTTACCCTTATTCAACTATCCCAGATTTTTGGCATGAGTGCCGTTTTTCAGGTAAGTTTTAATTTGAGGCTGTGATGAGACTCTTGTCTTCTGAGCATGACATGGCTGTTGCTGTTTTAAAATAGAGCAGTTGCAACTAACTGCCACCAGCCCCTCACATGATCAGGGCCACTAAGAAAGCGTGTGGGTGATATTCTTCACAAGATGGACCTTAAAGCCATGGGGCCTCATCCTTCTTCAAGGATATACAAACAGTCAACATTTGCAGGAGGAGATGGAGGCAGGGTCCTCTTCGGACAGTAGCTGCCCAGAAGTTGCCCATGTTCCTATTGGTAACTTTCCACCTATGCACCTGAGAGTAACACTAGTTTAACTCAGTGTTTCACCAAGCTAGACTTGAGTGGATAAATTTCCTTTGTCTTTCATTGGTGCCCTCTCTGGGATGAATAGAAGTTTGTTCATGTCCCCGGGAAAGGTCTTACACAGTGACCGGCTTTACAGTTTAAGGTTGCTATTATTTTTACCTAGTTGCTAATTTTTGACAGCTGTATTTTACAAATGTATCTTATTATGTGTGCATACCAGGCTTGCCTTTAACAGAGCAAAGCAGGTTGCAGTAGACATGCATGAAGAAGCCAAAATAGTGCTACATCTCTTAACATTTCGAGTATGATTTGAGAAATGTGTCATCAGGTAATTTGTCATTATTTGAACAGCCCAGAGTGTACTTATACAAACAGAAATGGTCTAGCCAACCATGCATCTAACTGTATGGGCTAGCTCTCAGGCTAGAAACATGGAAAAGAACATTCCATCCCTGCTGGCCATCTCTCACCCCTTTTCATGATGCAGTTCATTGACCTGGTCATGTGAATCTGTCCCTGACTGTCTCAGTTTGTAAAGGCAATATCAACATGAGAGGATCGAGTACCACAGCAAGCACTGTTAGTATGTATATGTAAAGCAAATTACAAGGGAGATAAAGGATGAATATTTTAGTTTTGTGTTTGGTTTAGTAAACCTGAAGGTGAAAACCACCATGCAAAAAAATAGAAGTTTCTTTTCTTCTTTTTGAACCAGTTTCCCTTTTCTGTCCTCTTTCTAGGCCTCTGATGATTGTCACTCAGAAGATCACAACCTTGGCTTTCCAAATTCACGATGGTGAGAAAGCAATCTTCCCTTGGGTTCTGAGAGCCATCCTGGTGTTCAGTACTCCCATGTGTACATTTCACACACAGTTCAAGCTTCCATGAGTGCTGGCAGGCCTTGCTCTCTCTTGTTCAAAGTTTCCAGGCCTCCATGGTCACACCCTTCTACTTTCCCAGCCATCACTCCCCATTGCTTTATTGAATCCACAGTCCCGCATTTCCTAAATGTTTGCTCCAAGAAAGTGAGGTTTTTGTTTACATTTTAAAGTTAATTCATGATGTCTTCTGACCTTTTCCAAATTTATTAAGGTAATGAACGGCTTCCTTTTTGTTTTGATTTCATCTCTAAAAAACTTAGAGGGCAATAAAAAAAATTTAACCACATTGGCTGCTTAATCGGTTTTTAACTCCCTGGGGGAGATGTGTGCCTGGAAAAATCATCTGATAAGATTAGCCTGACCTATAAAAAGCTGGGGAAGGTGGAACTAAACCCTTTTTTTTCACTTAGGTTCTTCCTAACAATGGACAGAGTGTGTGATTTACATCATTAGAGTGGTTTTCTAGGGAAGGGAGGAAGACTTTCAGCCAGGTGGACCATTCCATTACAGGGTTAAGGTAGGCAGTGGACAGATTTTAGTTAAAGTGTGGGAACAGATTACATTTCATTTGACCCAGTGTATTTCATTCATACTTGGGGCTTTAGCAACTCTACATAGAAGTGGATTATTCCATAGCAAGAATGGGGTGTCTGTAGAGTCACCAACCATCCTGATTTGCCCAGGGCTCAGACACATCCCCAAAATTTATATTGTCAGAATCAAAAAGTCCCAGGAAAATGGAAACCATGGCTGCTGGGAATATCTAACTCATGGCCCATGGCCCGGAGGAAGCTCAGGATAGCTTTGGATGTATTCCTACCCTAGATTAGAAACTTACTTAAAACATTGTAAGACTTTTTGGTATGTGGCTGGGGATTAGCTATACTGTTCTGTTCTTGAGTGTAAACTTTATACATGACAGCTTTGTGTGACCACATCAAAAGGTTGGCCATGCCTACTAGTATAGACTCACAGAAGTAATGTAACCAGTAGTCAAAAGTCAGTTGAGTTCTGCAAATTGGTGTGGATGTGTTGAGATCTCATTGGAAGAAACAGAGTGGTGTTTTATTGTTGGCTCTATGTGTAGGTGTGAGTGTGTAGACATGGTCTCACTGTGTATTCCAGTTTAGTCTTGAACTTAGAATCCTCCTGCTTCCTCCCAGGTGCAACCACACTGCACTGGGATGGATGGGTTTGGATGGGTTTTTTGTTTCTTTCTGTTTTTTGTTTTTTTTTTTTGACACTGCTCCTTCTTCTTTTTTCCCCATTGTGAAATAGACTTTGGGCTGAAATTTACATTGTAAAGTACTCTTTCTTTACCACATTCCTCGGAGTATTCAGAACACAGAGTGAAATGTTTATTTACTTCCCCTCCCCCCCATTGTGTGTGGGAGGGATGAGGGAATTCCAGAAACACTCTTGTCTTTTCCTAGGCCTTTTTTTTTTTCTTGACAGGATGTTATTATGTCTCCTAGTGGCCTGAAACTTGATCTTCCTGTCTCTGTTTTCCATATGGTGTGATTACAGGCCCCAGCCACCACACCTAGTTTAAGTGCTTTGTGGAATTGCCTTCATGGTTGCTGGGCAGATTTAGAGTCTTTATGTTTCTTGTTGTACTTCAGAGCTGTTAAGAGTTGTTTTTCCTGCTGGTCTGGGCCCACTGCTGCGCTGGCCCCAAATAACACACAGAGACACTGTATTAGATATAAAGCTGTTGGCTAGTTACTAGTTTCTTATCAGCTAGCTTTGTCTTAAATATTAACCCATTTCTATTAATCTGAGTACTTCCATGTGGTCTCATCTTACCGGAGAGAGGCCCCGGCATTCTTCCCTCTCCATCCTCCATCTTAAATCTCCTCCCTACTACGTCCAGAATCCTCTTCTCCTAGTCCCACCTATCTTGCTTTCCTATTGGCCAACAGTGCGTTATTCATTAACCAATATGAGAAACATATTTACAGAATGACATCTCCCATCATATGGCTCCCAATATATGGCTCAACTCACACCTGAACTTCCAGCACTTGGATAGCATACACAAGAGGGGTGCAGGTTCAAGGTCAGCCTGTGCTACATAGAGAGATCCTATCTCAAAAAACAAAAACAAAGAGGATTAAAAAAAAAAAAAAACTCCATAAAGATAATGCTATAATGCTTAGTTTCTTTGACTCCAAGATGGCATGTACCTTTTATAGTAGGCAAACATTGTTTGTGGCTGGAAATTTGTCTGCCGTGGATGAGCTTGAAGAAGAAGAAGAAGACAAAGATCTGCTAATTGTCTATATTTTCCCTGCAGTTAGGGTTATATCCCTTTTGCTGCCTGGAAGGAGAAAGTCCCTGTTTGTTCCCCCATTATGTCTCATCTGAGTGCTCTCAGCTTCCCCTGTTATAGCTATCCCAGTTCACAGGTTTAGTAGTTTTTTTCCCCATCACTATGACAGAACCCTCTAACCAAAGCTACTTGAGGCAGAATGAGTTTGTCTAGGCTCACAGTGGGAGGTGCAGTCCATCATGGCTGGGAAGGCATGGCGGGCGGCAGGCTGGCGCATGAGTGCATTATCACATTGCATCTGAAGTCCAGAAGCAGAGGCATGCTCATTGGTGCCTCTCTTTCTTTTTCTCCTTCTTGTTAAGCCTAAGAACCCAGTCCTTGGGGTGAAGCTGCTGGTAGTTAAGGTGGGTTTCCCCACCTCACATAACCACTTCTAGAAACTCCCTCACAGGCATACCCAGAGGGTTGTCTCCTAGGTGACCCTAGATCTGGTTGACAGTCAATGTTTAGCCTTCGCACCAGGTTTCCCACTTGGCATCATGAAGGAGAGACATCTGAATTGGTTCAGCTCATGAAAGGCATTCTTACAATTGCTAGAGCAATGGATCCTACTATGGGGTAAGGGATCTTTAAGTGGAGGTGATGGGCAGAGGTTTCTGGAGTTAACATACTTTTAGACAAATCAAACACAAGTAACTTTGAATGCTCCTTCATTCATACAAACCTATACAGAGTCCTTTATGTGGACTCATGGGTAGCTGATGTAGGATAATTTTACAGCCATCATAAGGATGGAACCCAGGGCCTTGAGTGTGCTAAGTTCACTCTCAACCAATGCCTTCCTCCTGTAGGAATTGGAAAACTGAAAAGCAGGAATTCTTCATAGTAGATGAAGCAAAAATAATCGGCTTTTCCCAAATGAGCTTGGGAACATTCTCTAGGATCAGTTCCTTATTATTTCATTTTACTTTTTATTTAGAAACAATCTTATTTTACATTTCAATCCGTCCCCCCATTCCCTCTCTCTCCCATCACCCCATGCTTCCCACCCTTATTTCACTTTAAACACTCTGACTTTCATTTCACTTCCATAGGATTAGGTCGAAAAGCTGAAGATCTTTCTGCTGAGCAACACCGACTTGCCGTGAAGTAAGTTATCAGTTAGAAATAAATTGTCAAGCCCTTTGGATGTGTCTAAAGCAGTGGTTCTCACCCTTTCTAATGCTGCAACCCTTTAATACAGTTCCTCATGTTGTGGTGACCCCAGCCATAAAATTATTCCGTTGTTACTTCATAACTGTGATTTTGCTACTGTTCTGAATCATACTGTAAATATGTGATATGCAGGATATCTGATATATGACCCCTGTAGGGATGGATAGTGACCCACAGGCCGAGAACGACTAGTCTAGAGTTTCTTCATTTTAATAAATACTCATATATTTGTCTACTAATCTTTGCCTTTGGACAATGCTAGCCAATGGCTAACCTTGAATATAGATCATTTTTTAGTGTGTTTGGGTCTGCTGTAGGGCTGAGGTCAAGAGCAGATGGATCTCATCTGTGATTTTGTTCATCCTGTGAGACTCTCTTTTTCCCAGGATGTGTGTGTCTACTCCAGAATTATTTTTATTGGATTTGTGTCTGGGACCTTTGAGAAGCAGCAGTTACCAATGCATGTAGTTTATGAGCATATGGAAAGACAGGAAGCAGGCCAGAAGGGAATCCAGGTTGGGGAGTCAGAGGATGGCCTTTGGCTAGTGTGGATGGACAGTGGAAAGGGAATGGTGCTGGAGGGCAGGGCAGGGGTCCCTAAAAGGTCAGGAGAAAAACACTGACATGGGGATGAAAATGCATTGGGGTGGCTCACAAAGAACAGCTATGGCTGGGGGCTTGGTTCCTTCTAGAGGGTACCAGAAGCCGCTGGCACCTGCCAAGGAGTCCCAGGAGGTGCCTTCATTAAGGACCTGAGACTTGGAAACAGTTGTGAAGCACTGGAGGGTTCTAGTAAGTCTGGTCTCTTGCTCAGCACTATGTAGCTATAGTCAGCTTTAGGCACAGTCTGAGGAACCATTGAGCAATGGTGTTTCAAGAACTCTTCCCCTACAATAATACCATGCTAGCACAGGCCTCCTGCATGCCCTTGCAGCAGTAAGCAGAGCCCGGCACCCCAGGTTTTCCCTGGTCTCCTTTTCAGGACCTAGACACCAAAGCAGACAACAGATTGTTGCAGTTGGTTTTGTGTGGCTTCCAAGTGGAAACCGGTCGAGTCCGCCCACCATTTACTTTGTATTTATGTTGGCAGTCAAGAGAGAATTTCCCCTCTCTGGAGCATCTCAGCAGCTGACATTAAGCCAGATTCTCACCCTGCCTTTGTTTATGCCTTCATTTTGCATTGCAAGCAGATAGAGGTGATGAGGAATAACCTTTGCTTGAGACCCCTCCCTCAGGGTTCATGGTCCTCACCAGCAGAGGGTGGCATGGAACTTTGACCATCTCCGTCACCTATCTCATCCATGGGTCCTGTCTTAAAGATGTCTCTTTTAGCTGGATTTTATAGGAAACAGAAAAGTGAAAGGATAATAACGTTTCAGGTATATGGGCGTGTTCTGATGGAGAATTGAACATGGATGAGCACTCAAGTTTTAAATTTCATTTATGTTCATAGGGTGAAGCCCTCGCTTTTGGAATACTTAAGCTACCATCTCAACTTTATGAGTGTCATAGCCGGCCCTTGTAACAACTTCAAGGACTATACAGCCTTCATTGAGGGGAGACATATACATATGAAGTTGCTAGAAGTGAACTGGAAGCAAAGAGGCTTCCACAGTTTGCCAGAACCTTCCCCCACGGTAAGTTTTTATTACTTGGTATGTTTTTTGGGGGGAGGGGTGTTCAGAGAATGGATTCACTCCCAGGGCTGACCCTAGCTAATAGTCGTTCTAATTAAAGTCACATAGCTGGGAGCATTAGCTTGTTGATAGAGCACTTGCTTAGTATACATGAAATCCAGGTGTGATCCCTTGAATAGAAAAATAAAACAGTGACAGCCAAATGTCAAAAGCTTAGCAGAGAGCGTGGCCAATCATCCACCCCTTACTTACTTAAAATCAAATATAGGCAATTGTTGAGCTGTTCTCTGAGTAAGATCGCATAGTTTGGACCCAGGCACTGTTCTTAGTTCTTTATTGTGTTCATTCACTCAAGCCCCAATCACTTCCAGGAAGGGTGCCAATGCTGTGCCACATTAGAAAGGCCACCCATTGGAAACTACAGGCATGTAGGATGACATTTCCTGGAAAGTTGGAAGAAGTGGACAAAATTACTGAATCCTGATAAAAAGTCACCACATCCTAACCCTAGATTTTTCTAGTTTGTGTCTCTGTTGCTGTGATAAAACGATGATCGCAAACAGCTAAGGGAGGAAAGGGCTTATTTAGCTTACAGGTTACAGTCCATCATGGAGAGAAAAGCAGTAACTGCAGGCAAACACCTGGAGAATGGTTGGTTGGAGCAAAGGCCACAGAACTGCTTGCTGGCTTGCTTGTAGGCTCTTCTTTGGATACCTTTCTTCTACAGCCTAGGCCCAGCTGCCTAGTTGGCCCTCCCACATCAATTAGCAATTAGGAAAATGTCCCATAGACATGCCACAGGCCAATCTGGTGAAAGAATTTCCTCAACTGAACTTCCCTTTTGCCTGATTACAGTAGGTCTGTGACAAATTAACAGCTAAAGCTAACGATGACACCAGATGAAACATTTGAATCTTCCTTGGAAGCCAATGCTCTCCATTGTCTGTTCATGAACTGGCTCAGGTGTTCTGTCACCGACACAGAAGCCCTTATACTGGAAGCCTCCACCTCCTAGCTGGTGACTCAAGCATGTTTCCTGGTTCTGCAGGCTGTACTAATGGAAAGCAAATGGTTCTTGCTTTCTGGTAGAAAATTGCTACCCTATGCTTATATTTATTTCTCTTATGTTTTGGGAAACAACCCTACTTAACGTATGTTGGTAGGGGTTCCTGAAAGACACATTTAGATATGTCCCATGTTTACAGTGAATTCCTCCACTCTTCAAGGGTTATATGTGTGTTCGGCATCTAGATATACCAGCTAACCTAATCCTCTCAGATTTGTGTCTTGAGGAAAAACCCATCCTCATTGCTTTTCTTTCTAAGGAAGTTATCAGATAACCACGTTCTTTAGGAGCTCTTGCCACAACTGTGGTTCTCATCATACCTGGGTAGTTACATGGGTTTTTCCCCCATTTCTAGGGAGCTGTGATACAGAAGTTGTGCATGACCTTGATGTCTCTCCTGTTGTTTTTGACACTCTCAAAGTCCTTTCCTGTCACCTTCCTTACTGATGACTGGTTTGTACATAAGGCCAACTTTCTGAGTCGACTCTGGTACTTATATGTCGTCATGCAAGCTGCAAAGCCCAAGTATTACTTTGCATGGACATTAGGTAAGTTTGATGGAGTGGCCCAAAATGAATGAGGAATGAAGTGGCCTTCCTTGGATGGTTTAGCCAGAATATCATTTGTATCATCAAATCATAATAAAGTCCAATCATTCCTGTGGCAGTGAAGCCAGTACCAAGTTTAACCTTCAACATTGCACTCTCTTCCACCCTCTGTAAACTCAGTTATCTGTGAGGAGACATCTGGGCTGTTATTTAAACTCAGTCTTACTGTTTCCAACCATTGAACTTGACCATTCAGAGCAGTGCAAAGTTAAGAGAAAATTCCAGAACAGTGTGGCTTGTTTTTCTCCAGGTTGTATATATGTATGACGAATTTTACCATCACGCATGCTAGTTTAGATTGCACACAGTCAGCTTGCTGCTTTGGACAGAAGCTGCCAAATTCAGGTTTTTTTTTTTTTTTTTTTTTTTTTTTTTTTTTCTTCTTCCTTTATGGTGAAAAGTTCAGCTTTATTTATTTATTTGTTTTATCACATGTCTTCCCCGCCCCCCCTTGGGAGGGTGTTAGCCAGTCTTATAAGGTTTTACTTTTTCCTTTGAAAGCATTTTAGATGGAGTTGTTTAAAGCTTTATTAAGTAAAGAACCTATGTACTTACCAAGGCTGGTGAGGGATTTTGATTTAAGATGGGAAGGTTAAAGAGAGTGAGGGCTTGCCTTCTTAAGCCAAACTGGTCATTCAACAGTTCCCAGTGTTTTGTCCACAGACTGCAAGTTAAGAAATAGCACATGACTCATGTCCTCTTCTTAGTTTGTGTTTCAGGGTTTAAGTCTAAATTAAACTTTGCAGATGCAGAATTATTTTTTTCACTCAAATATATCTAATATGAAATAGACTGTTTTGGCCATCTAGGCATGAAGTCCAGTGTTGGCAGGTTTTTCATGACAGTTAAGATTGAGAGTCAGAAATTTTCATTGCCCCAAACAAACTTTGTTGCCTATTAAGCAGTTTCTGTTGGGAACAGGTTATTTTTAACTGCAAAACTTTCTGTGCGTAAGTTCAGTCCAAATGCAGTATTTCGCTAGCATTTGGCCAAAGACATCAGACTTAGAGCTCTTTGTTTTGCTTTGTTTTGTTTTGTTTGAGACAGGATCTTACTATGTAGTGTGGCTGGCCTGGAACCCGCTGTAGACCAGAGATCCACCTGCCTCTGCCTCTGCCTCTGCTGGCACTAAAGGTGTGAACTACTATACCCAGCATCAGAGCTGTTTTGGAATTTATGGTGTGCTGTGCTTTGTTTCCATTTCCATTCAGTTTAATTTAGGGCTGTTTTTGAACACCAGACTTTGTGCTAGGAAATATCTTCAGCATCTCAAGACGATAGCATTTTGTGGGAATACAGACCTCTCCATCAACTAGGCAAGAGATATCAAGAGTTGCCCCAGTGGCATAATATGGAGAATAAATGTCCTTCAAAGACCTGTTCCCCTCCTTCCTGATTCTGCTGTTGCTTTGCTACTTAAAAATACTGCCTTATTTCTTTAATAGTTAGGCATCTATCTTGGGTAGCTAGGAGTCTTTTTGGATCCCTGTATATATGTGTTTCCCCATGCAAAATAGTACTTTTTCTTTGTTCTAACCTGAGTGTGAATGTGTGTAGGTGTGTACCTGAATGGAGAGAGAGGGAGAGAGAGAGAGAGAGAGAGAGAGGGAGGGAGGGAGAGAGAAGGAGAGAGAGGGAGAGAGGAAGGGAGGGAGGGAGGGAGGGAGGTTGGGGGTGAGAATGTCTTCCTTTTACCGCATTCTCTATTTTCACTTACTTTGCTTTCTCTCTTCTCTCCCTACCTTTTCTGATCCCATATTTTGTGTCTCCGGGCTTTAGCGCTGGCTTTGGACTAAATCAGCTCCAGATTTAAGGAGGAAAAAAAAAAAAAAAAAGGCCATTCCTTGGCCTTATGGGGAGAGTCTGATACAAGGTGGGTGTGGGCTGTGCTGACAGCATCTGGGTGGGAGGGGTGACAGGGAACAGGATGTCATCCCGCCCTTTAGGAGAACTTCCCAGACTTTTGGAATGTAAATGTGTTTCCTCTGGACAGCTTTCTCTGTGCTCTGAGCTCTGTTTCTCCCCAGTCTCCTCTGTCCCATCTTTATGCTTTCCTGGTTGTTTAGTGGAAACACTTCATTAATTTGCATAGCTTTGATTTGAAGTTTCTTTCCAGTTTGGATTACATGGGCTAGTCTGAAATTAACCTTTCTATTATTTATGAATAAAGAAGCAATGGATAGTCCATCAGGGAATATTTAAATTGCTTAACCGAATAATTGTTTTATCCAGCTCTTTAAAATGCCATTTCCATATAATTGATGTGCTAATTATAAATTATTATAAATTTAATCCTTAAAGCTGGCCTTTCATGGATGTCAGCTGCACTGCACTGTTAGGCTGGCTCTAGGTACTGTTTATATAGAAATAATAAAATTGTTTTCTTTGGACTTAATATCCAATTTTGACCCCCCTCCCCTAACTAATTGTTCCAAATCAAAGAGGCTCAACTGTCTAGGCTGCATCCTAAGGACCACAAACTGCAACAAAGGGGTATCCAAAGCAGTTTGTCTGCCATTGTACGTTACACCATGCATGGAGAAAGGAAAGCCAGTTTCGGGCTATGACTCAGAACCTCACTCTGGCTGCTCTAGGTAATGATGGAATCTTAGATAAACTTCTGTAGAAAACACTGTGCAGAACAGGGGATCCTGACTCTCCAAATAGGGTGATTGTGGGAGCCAGCTATCTCACAAAGGAGCTCTCAGTCCTTTGGGATGTGGAATCAGTTCTGGCTTTCAGAGTCTGGCACTGCCTACACTGGAATGGTCTGCACATTGAATGAAATCTCCAATCTCAAACTCCTTGGCATTCCCAGAAGCAGAGGCCATTAGACTAAAAATGGCCACCACTGTCATCTCTTGACTGCTTCCTTGGATGGGCCCTGTGCTGTGAACTTTGTACACATTTCAACAGCTCTTCAACATAAGCGCCATTGTTGCATCCATTTTATCCTTAGGGGACAGGTTTCTAGAAGTTAGTCACCTCCTCTAGCTTTTGCATTAGTATGCTGCTGAGCCTTCCCCTACTGACCCTCCTAATGCTGCTGTGAGAGTAAATAAGAAATACCTGGAAGGTGCTGGGTACAGAGACCTAGAAATGTGTGTGATGTCGATGGCCAGCTGGCTGGGATTCAGCAGCACTCAGGCTGTTAGTACAGCACACTTCCAGATGTGTCTGTAGGGTGTTTGCAGAGACAGCGGACTGACAGGGAATTCCATTCCTGCACGTTGGCAGCACCACGAGTAGGCTGAGGGCTCAGCTGGGAGCAAATGGGGGAGAAGGAGAAAGATGGGGACGGAGACTCTTGGCCTTTCTGCTTCCTGAGTGCCATGATATAACATGCTCTGCCACACCCCACCTTCCCAACAGTGATGGATTGCAACATCTGGGTCTGAGCTGAAGTTGTTTTTTTCCTGTGTTGTGAAAATCTGACCATCATAGACGATGATCAGGAAAACACACATTCATGCACACAATCATTGCTTGTTTTTTGTTCAGCTCTGACCAGGAGTGGTAAGCACAAAATTGAAGGAGGAGACAGGGAGTTAAGACCTGTTGTGCTGGCCTTGTCATGGGTTGTCCAGCTATGATTTTAGCTGTCACCTAGATGACATATGTCATTCATAGACTTGTTCCCACATATGAAACCATGAGGTTCCTTTTCAGGCACCTGCTTTCTCCGTTTCTCTGCTTTTCTTTTTCTTCTCTACCGAATTTCCCTCTAGAGGAGAGAGGAGAGCATGGGGCTCTGTCCTTTAAAATCGTTTCTTCCACGAGAAACCAGATAGTTTTCAACTGAAGCCAAACCTAAGATAAGCATCATTAAATCATCAACTACACCAAAAATAGAAGAGATAAACATAGAGCTGTGTTCTCTCTCTCTCCTTCCCTCCCTCTCTCCCTCACCCTCCCTCCCTCACCCTCTCCCTCCTTCTCTCCCCCACCCCACTGTCCTGGGGATGAAACCCAAGGGAAGTGCTAGGCAAGTGCTGGACCACTGGGCTCAGGGCCACCCTCCCATCTGGAGAAGGCCATACCCTTTAGAGTGGCTGTTCTTAAGGCAGGCTCCTTTCCAGGGGGTTTGAAAGGCTGTCTGTACTTGGAGGATCCTCTAAGACCTCCTCCAGTCTAGAACTGTAAAGCGCTTTGACTTAATTAGTGTGAGTCATTAATGACTATTTTCTTGAAGAGCATCTTCTAACAGAATTTGGAATATGATAAAGGAGAAAATTAGTCTCTTGGTCTCCATTATAACAGTGAGGGCTTGTCAGGACTCTAGCTGGTTACAAAACACCCCATTAAGGTGTTGATTTGAGGTAGATTGTTCCTTTGGGGGCCATTTTCTTACAGTTTGGTTAAGTAAATAAACATGGAAGTAGAGACTTTCAGAATGGCTTTGTGAGTTAAGATGGTTGCTGTTTTCTTTCTTTTTGAGACAGAATTTTCCTGTATAGTTCAATCTGGTCTTCAACTTTCTTGATAGCCCACATTAGCCTTATGCTTGCTATGTAGCCCAGAATAATCCTCATGTCTCTGCCTCCCAAGCTCTGTTACCATACAGTGTTAGGGTGTTCATCACTGTGGTCTTGTGTGGCTTTTACTGCAGTTGGTTCCCAGTTCCAAGCTAAGCTTCTCTACTTTGTTGTGGATTTAAACTTCCCTTTAATTGCATCTTGTGTTAGCCGATCAGCCCCGTGTATGTAACCTGTCAAGGATAAGCTCCTGTTTTCTTCCACAACTGCATCTCTCTCCTGACATAGCATACCTACCCTTTAACACCTCAGATGCTTAATGTTGACAGTCAGTTTGGTGGGATTTCAAATCACCTGCGGCACACGCCTCTGGGCATGCCTGAAGGTATTTCCAGAGACGCCGAACTGATGGAGGAGGGCCTGCCCACGGTGTGAGTGGCACCATGGTCTGGGGTCCTGGACTGAGCAAAAAAGAGAAAGTGAGCAGAGAGCTCTCTACTTCCTCACTGAAGGTGCAGCTTGACAAGCTGCCTCGTGTCCCTACCACCATGCCTTCCCCACCATGAGCCAAAACAAGCCTTCTATAATAGCCTAAGTCACAGCAAGGGGGAAAGTAGCAAGTCCCAGGCGTTACTCTTTAGTAATAACTCGTGGTCCATACCATGTCCCTTATTGGCCTTTATTTCTAAGCAGTGGTGTGTTTTACCTCTTTCTCTTCCCCTAAACCCTGCCAGTCACTGAATCCAGCTGCTAACAACCTCACCTCACTTCTTCTCCCCTCCCTGATGCTCCTCTGTCCATTCTATGGACATTCAGTGCTGTGCCTTTTAGCAAGCATTCAAAGGCTACACAACAAATGAATAGAAACCAAGTTCACCAAACAGCCCGATTCATAATGATGCCAAATCCTTTGAGTGTTTTTTTGGTTCATTTTCCAAGAAACTACTGAACACACATCCCGTGTTGGAGCTAGACAAATGTTTGCACACCTTTAAAGACCTTTGCCTGGTTCCTGATGTTTTTGTCTTAAAACCACAGCGGATGCGGTGCACAATGCAGCTGGCTTTGGGTTCAGCGGTATGGATGAGGACGGGCATTTCTGTTGGGATCTGGTATCTAACCTGAACATCTGGAAGATTGAGGTGAGAACACTGTGCTTCTGGAACAAATGGCCACAGTGAATAAAGCAGGCATTTGCAGTGAATGTGGGATTCCCAGATCCTTCGTCATGGTGTCTGCGGAGATGCCTGGCCCCACATTTTCCTCGCCGTCGGTATTCCAGATTGTCTTCCTCTCCTCCTCTTCCTCCTCCGTGTCATCACCATCTTGCTTTCAGGATACCTACTTTTTTGACACCTTTAATGATTCAAGGAAAAATGACACCAAAAATTTGAAAAAGAGCCGAAAAAAAAACTTTCTGTGGTTTAATTCTTGTTCTACCAACCAGAAAGTGAAAATGCCATCTTCTTTTGTTTGCATTTGATTGGGTTTCAGTCCAGAGTGTAGGCCAGAGACTGGTTCCTTTAGAAACATGCTGGGGGGGGGGATTTTAATTCATTTGATTTTTTGAGGAAAAGCTGTCACAATGCACACCTTCTAGGCCACTGGGATAGTGTGTCTCTTCATCTGTCTTTATTCTTGGACCACGGTTCTCTTCGTGTCTTTGGAAACAGGCATGGTTCCTTCAGACCAGTCATCTCAGCTTGCTTCGCCTCGTTTGCACCAGCATAGACCTGACTACCAAGCCAGAGAGCTTTGGTGTTGCAGCAGTGGAGGAAGGCCCAGCTTCTCAGTGTGCCAGGCCAGCTCGCTCAGGGTGGCTGTTAGTTTGTTTTTTGTTTTTTTTTTTTAATTTCCATCTACCTTGGGGCAGACAGGGAGAGCAGGAAGCCTGGGAGACCGACCATCTTCCACCCACATTTAGTGGAGAGCAGAGCAAAAGGAGCCATGAGAAACCCCCACCTTCTTCTGCCTGAGGCCGTCTGCCTTTGGAAGACCTCTGGGAGCAGGAGGCCTTCTTTTCACCTCACAAAGTTATTAGGAGGGTGAGATTTTTCTCCTCCCAGTCTTCCTCTTCTACCTCTTCCTTTTCCTTCTCCTCCTCACTTTCTTCCTCTCCCCCTTTTCCTCCTCCTCCCCCACCCCTTTTATCTTCTTCCTCATCTTCTCCTTCCTCTCTCCCTTCACCTGCCCTCTTCTTACAGGGTCACTTAGCACTTTGTACCAATACTCACCCAAATTACATCATGTATTCAATTTAAAGTCATGGTGCCATTTGATACCTCAGGCTTATCAGATTATATAAACAGTGAGTCCCAACAAAGGGGGGGGGTGATATTTGGATTCTAGAGAATCTGAGCCTTAGGTCAGAAAACCCTGGCAAATACAGAAAAAAAGAGGGGGGGGCAAATTTAGAATTGGTTTGGAGTGACCAATTTGCCCCATTACAATAAACCACTTCTTCAATAGAAAGGTTCTAGGTGTCATAACCATGTTTCCCATTTTTGGAGAAGCATATGAAAACTGCACACCTCTCTTTTCTATGTAGATGTCAGGCAAAGTCCTAGAATTAGGGACTTCATTCCCTTGGAGCACTATATGCCACGTCCTTCAGAGATGACCCCTTTGGCTTTTGGCTGCTCATGAGTTTGCCCCAACTGTGCAGCAAAGACAAACTCTTTCATCTTACAGAGAGTGAGGCATCCCATGGGTAATCATCAAAGTAATCATCTGTGGCAGCACTGAGGGTAGTCCCCTCCCACCCCCCCCCCCCCATCTAGGCTGAGCAAGCCATCTCTCCACAGGAAATGGGCTCCAAAAAGCCAGTTCATGCTGTAGGGATAAATACTGGTTCCTCTGCCAGCGGCCACATAGACTGGCCAAGCCCCCCAACTGACACCCATGTTCAGGAGGCCTAGTTTGGTCTTATGCATTCCCCAGCTGGACAGATCATTTCATTATGGGCATGTACTTGGTTGGGGGTCAAAGGCTGATAATAAGTTATACAGTTATTATAAGAGAAAATGAGAACACCGATTCCCATTGTATTTGGTATGGGACAAAGGAACAAGGAAGTCTGATTTAGTTATGGTGCTTCAAGGCTGTGTTTTATAGCATCCTATTAACTATGTAAACAGAAACAAACTAAATTGAAAAATACTCATTAAATAACAGACTCCTAACAATCTATCATGGATTGTTTATTATGTTACGTATCATTCATCTGCCTTTCACTTGTCACCTGTCCAACATCTTTCCTCTTATCTTTTGATCTATTATCTATCAATTGTCTATCCATATCTGTTTACCTGTCTTAGAGTTCCTATTGCTGTGATTAAGCTCTATGACCAAAACCAACTTGGAGAGGAAAGGGTTTATTTCAGCTTATACTTGCACATCACAGTCCATTAGTGGGGGAAGTCAGAGCAGGAACTCAGACTGGGCAGGAACCTGGAGGCAGGAGCTGATGCAGAAGTTGTGGAGGGATGCTCCTTACTGGCTTGCTCACTAATGCTTTTCTTAGCTTGCTTTCTTATACATCTTAGGACCACTTGCCCAGGGGTACCACTGGTCACAGTGCCCACCACTCCCACACAAATTATTAGTGAAGAAAACAACCTACAGACTTGCCTACAGACAACCTATTGGTGGCATTTCATTAATTTTGAATCCTCTTCCAAAATAAGTCTAGTTTGTTTCAAGTTGACAAAAAAATTAAGATGTACACTACCTATATATCTATTATACCATTTATCTATTGTCATCTGTTGTCCATCTTATCTGTGTTCTCCATCATCTGTTTGTCATTTGTATTACCTAGCTATCATCTGTCAGGCCATCTTGCACCTATATGTCATCTGTATTCTTGGCCTACTCTCTCTTTTCAAACATATTACACTAGTAAGGTGGGTGGCCTTAACAGGGTTTCTTATGGGTGAAGATTTTCCACAGGGAAAAGTCATACTTTTTGTTAGTGTCAGTGAGAAAACACAGTTCATGGCATATTTGAGGATGTCTTCTTTGGCAGTTGACTGGCTTATACTGTTACCAGATGGGTGATATTTCTTTATTTTTTTTTCTTATCTTTATGATCCCTTCATGCATGAAGTCTCTTACTATTCCAGGCAAAATTGGATGCAGTTGGGACTGGGAAGCTATTTATAGAAATGACTGTAAAAGGCTGACCTAGTTTGCACGTGGCCACATAGCACAAAGATAATGGTTTCATTTAACTTGTCCCAAAAGCTCTACAATCAAATAATTAGACTTTCCCTGTGTAAGTCCCCTTTTAGACTAGTTCTAAGTGATTCGACTTTATTTTTTAAAAAGCAGAGTGGGAGGGGATTGACAGAACTTCCCCTAAGTTTTGCTCTAATGTAAAAATAAGTTTTGAGCAGATTTGATTCTCCAAGCCAAGGTTTAGCTGCAAAGTAAATCTTATAAATGCCAGAAAATGTTACTGCCTTGTGGCAGAAGAGTTGATTGACTGAACTGTGAGTAATCCTGCTTGAAACCCTCGTCAGCTGTGTGAGCAAGGGAGTTCTGGGCAGGACTTCCCACTGCTTGGCTATTTTTAAAGCTAATGATTGGTGTTATTTTCTTGTTTCTAGACTGCTACGAGTTTCAAAATGTACTTAGAAAACTGGAATATTCAGACATCTACTTGGCTGAAATGGTAAGGAACACAAGAATTACTTTATTGCTCATGGCAGGGATGTGCTTAGGGACTTCCTACATGAGCAACATCTGCCTGCCAGTCATGCCATCTGACAGACACTTTTGACGTCATTGTCCACATCTTGTAAATAAAAAAGTGGAAATGATGACTTGAGAAGATCTCAGTATGTGCCTGTTTCATCCCATAATGCTCATTACTCGGTTCTGCACACTAGTTTATTCCTTTTAGCAATCCTGTGAGATGCCATTAGTTGTGTTACTATGTTTTACAGCTGAGAAAAGTGAACAGAGGGGTTACATGACATGCCCAAAGTCACAGATCTATGAGTGACAGACACAGGGCCAAAGGTCTGTTCCCAGAGCTAAGCTTTTGGCTTCTCTGCTGTTTGGCTTGATACCCAGGAGAGTCTAGTTTTCAGATCTTAGGAAGTCAGTGTCAACATGAAAGCCCTGATGAGGGCTGCTGCTGTTCCTAGCAGTGAGAGCTTTACCATACCCCAAATGCCTGCATTTGTATTGACATTTCTCTGACCTGTTTCTATATGTGTCCTAAATTTAGAAGCATTACTTGTTAGTGAACTATGAATATACTATCTTTGAACACCACACTCCACCTCATGAATGCACCTGAACTTGCATGAAGAGATTAGGTTTTGCTTTTGATGAAAAGTGTCTTTCACAAATTAAACGCTGAGGAGGTGGCTGGGTGATTAAGTGTGGACTGCTCTTGCAGAGGAACCAAGTTCAGTTCCTATCACCTGTATGCATTGTTTCAACCACCTGTAACTCCAGCTATGAGGGATCCAGTGCCTGCTTCTGGCCTCCAAGGCACATTCATTCATGTGTACAAATCCCCATTCAGATGCATATATAATAATAAATCTTTAAAACTATTGAAACAAAGGAGACACAATGTAGTAATTCTTCAAATAAAGCTAATGCAATGCTCTCTGAAAACTACCCGTTCCAACAGTCTTTAAATTCTGATATGAACATGATAGTTTTTAATTAATGTTGCTAGCAATTTTAACAGCAGCCTTTATTTCTTTATGCTGAGTAGTCCCAGCATGCCTAGAGTCATACAGTTTCCATTAGGAGTGCACAGCCTAAGATGATTGATAATGAAATATTTCACTCATGCAAAAAGATACAAAGAACTAAGAAAAAATTTAAAAAGCACATGCCTAGTCCTCATGTCAAAGGGAAGTCTTACTGAAAACAGAGTTTCAAGCCTGTGTTTTTCTTCCCAGTTGTATTTGTTTTCCTCTAATGAGAGGGAGACAAAGCCCTGAATCAAGGTGTAAATCAGTTACACCTTTGGCTGTTCAGTGGCGGTGCACACCTTTAATCCCAGCACTTGGGAAGCTGAGGCAGGAAGATCTCTGAGTTTGAGGTCTGCCTGATCTACATTGAACTCTAGGGTAGCCAGGGCTACAGAGAGAATCCCTGTCTTGAAAACAACAACAAAACCCAGGTACTTTGAACCATCAGTGGTGGGTTCTTGATAACTGCTTGAATTTACTGTTGCATTTTCTATTGGGGCCACTGAAGACTGGAAATTGACAATGCCTAGCCCGAGTTCTGGGGAAAAAGCCTCCTTTCACATCCTATCACTTATTTTAATTTTGGCTCAAGAAGAGCCAAAGATCTTCAGGGAACCAACTGACTTTTTTTTCCTAGCTTCTCACAGTATAATTCCCACATTGATTATCTCATGTCCAAAAACATGAGACCTCAAGTGTCCCCATAACTGAAGACTTTGGAACTAACATGATATCCTATGAGGAAAATTCCCCATCTGACCTCATGTGAGAGATGGCAATGAGAACACAGATACTAGACTATTGAGTGATGCTTCATTCTAGCTGTGTGTGTAAGGTGTATGCAAAACGAAAATGAGCTTGTGTTTTAGACTTGGCTCTCAACCCCAAGATAGCTCATGTATATGTAAACACTCTGAACACTGAAAAAAAAAATTCAAAATTGAAAAGGCTTCTTGTCGCAGGCATTTGGGGTAAGAGCTACTCAACCTCCATCTTGATTTAAAATCTGATGGGCTCTGAGCAGGTCCTCTAATTGCCACGCTAATTTCTCACTAGAGTTCCTACCAGAAAGATAAAAGGGGTTGTCATGTTGATTAGTCAGGTGACATAGGGGTCTGGTTGGAAAGATAAATTAATGTTGGCTAAATGAAGATAATTTCTACGGATGCTTATCTGGAGGCCAGGCATTTTAATGCCATTGACACTCATATTACTACCTCTAGTGGATTTGCCCTTTGGGGAGCCTGTTTCTGTAAGCCAAGAACTTGTGTTGAGTTGAACAAGACTACTAAGACCTTTGTTATAGTAGACCATGTGATGGGGTCCAGACCATCTAGTCTAATGAGGCTAAAATTTATAGCAGGGCCAGGAGCTGTGTTTCTGATAGTGCTCCAGGATACCAGAGAAGCACAGGCTGCCTGCATGTCATTGCAAGCTCCTGCTAAGAGTCAGGCAGGCATCTCTCAGAATGGATCTGAGACTTCAGTGTGGTCTGTCCCAAAGAGATGCAGGTGGAGGCAAGAAGTGTTTTCACTGGGGGTTTGCTGGTTCTTGCTGTCTTTACAGTGTGTGCTATGAGCGGGTTCCCTGGTACCCTACCGTGTTCACCTTTGTCCTGTCTGCTCTGTGGCATGGCATTTACCCTGGATACTACTTTACATTCTTAACTGGAGTCCCTGTCACATTGGCAGCAAGAGCGGTAAGCTTCCTTCAGCTGTTGGCTCTTTTTCTCTAGTAATCTGTGGTGCCCATGCGTGCGTGCGTGCTTGCATGTTGTTCTGTTTTAAGTGGTGGTGAGTTGAAGATTTGGGTTGTTGGGATTTTGATACAGAGTGATAAAGTTTCTCTCTGGAATATTTTTGTTTTGTTTTGTTTTCTTGGAATGATATTTGGAAAAATCAAGTAATGTATAAAACATTTTCTTATTACAGAAATACTTCAGTGTATATGGACTTGCCATTGCAAAAGTGGTTAACTAATTCACTTGCAGAGAATAAAACAAGAATTTTATAAGCAACAAATTACTCCCTTGAGAAAGGGACACATTTTTAATCATTAAAAACTGAATGTACATGTGCAGATAATCATGTTTAGTTTGCTTATATCCTGTTTAATTTCTTGTGTCATTATAGATTATAGTAAGCCTAGAAGTAATTCACCATGTATCTGAGAGGTCAGTGAGGTGATAGCCTTAGGAACTGCATCTATTGGAGAGGGATCTAACCTCCTGTGTCTGATACAGTCAAAGAATAAAATTACTGTGTTAAGTGTAGAGTTTTATATGTGATTTAATTTTGTTCTTTGATCATGATTATGGCCTTTCTTATTTCAGGCTCCAATAACTTTAGTTGTACTATATGTAAATTTTGCTATTGGTTCATTTTGTATTGTGTGTGTGTGTGTGTGTGTGTGTGTGTGTGTGTGTGTTGGGGCTGGTGTGTTTGTAGGTGCATTTGTGCATTTGTATGTGTGTATAGAACAGAAGATAGCCTTGGGTGTTGTTTCTCAGTTAGCACCCTCTATTTTTTTTTTTTTTTTTTTTTTTTTTTTTGAGACAGGATCTCTTGCTGGCCTGGAACTCAAAGCAGGCTAGTTTGACTGCTAATGAGCCTCAGGGTCTTCCACATCCCTGGTGCCAGGATGACAAATGGATGCCACGATGCCTGGCTTTTTTTTTTTTTTTTTTTCCCTTTTATAAAGTGGCTTCTGGATATTCAGTTCACAATTGGGTTATCTTCCAATCTCTTGCTATTTACTCATTCTTCCCTGCACTTTTCTATGAATGTTTCAGCATCCCTGTCACATGCCAGTCAGTGTGTAGATGTCCAGATATCACAGTGGACAAGATGAGCTCTCCTCTGAAGGTGCCTGTTTTACTTAGATGAAGCATATTAAATTTCCCATGTGAACAAGGTAGAAAATTGCTATTCATGCTAATTTTAAAAATATTAAATACCTATTTGAACACGAGAAGAAGCAGGAAAGGCCTTTTATTTGTTCTTCAGGCCCTGAAACAAAACTAAAGAACAGATGGCTAGAACAAACTACGAAATAAAGGTCAGCGCTTTGCTTGTTGATGTATTCAGAGTGTTGGGCCTTAAAATATCTGTACCCCAGTGGCCTCTTCTGGCACAGGCTTTGATTTATGTAGATCTTGTCTATTGCAGCCTTGTGAACAGTTTTCACAAGTGAGGTAGCGGTTAGAAAGGGGAACTGATGGAACTGAGCTTCCAGGTTTTTTTCTAGCAAGAGAATGAACTCAGCAGTCTTGAAGACTTAGGCTTCTGGAGGTTAGCTGCTTAGCTATTAACATTTCACACCTGCTTCCCAGCATTTCTGAATGGATGGACCTCCCAGATTCTGTTCTGAGGCAGTGAGAGTGGAGGAAAAGATATCATTGTTGTTGTTTGAGTCTTTGTTTTGATTTACTGTTAATTTGATAGCTCAGGCTATCCTGGAACTCCCTATGTGTCCAAAAACTGACTCTGAAGTTCTGATCCTCCTGCCTCCACGTCCGGACCTCTGGAGTACTAGGATCATGGGCCTATGCTATTGTGCCCAGTTTTAAGAAGCATGAAGTGCAGAGTTTTGTGCATCGTAGTAACTACCGACTGAGCACATCTCAGCCTAAGAAAGGTCTTGTCTTCATCCAGCAGTGCTGGTGACTTGCTAGAAGACTCAACAGACATGGTCCGAGTAAAGTATTAGCACAAAGACTGTACATAGTAAGCACTTAGTAATTAGCAGTTGGTTATAGTTTCAGTATAGTTGATCTTGTACTCTTGTAATCATGGAAACAGGGAGCAACACAGAGACTTATCAGTAAGAGTATGCGCCACAAAACTGTAACAGCAAAAAAAAAAAAAAAAAAAAAAAGTGGGGGGGGGGACAGGCAGACAAGCTAACTCTCCTCTAATTACCTTAAATTATGTAGAAGATTTATATTTTTATATTTGTGGACATGGCAAAAAGTCTACAACAGATTACACCAGAACCAAATAACCAAACAAATAAAACATCAAACCAGTTAAAAAACAAAAATTCACCAGTGCCATTAAGAATATATAAATAGAAAAGGCTTTGGAAGGCTCTGTGCCAAGTTCTTTTTTTCTTTCTTTCTTTCCTTCCTTCCTTCCTCCCTCCCTCCCTCCCTCCCTCCCTCCCTCTCTCCTTCCCTCCCTTCCTCCTTCTTTCCTTCCTCCCTTCCTCCCTTCCTGCTTTTCTGTTTGTTTTTCCAGGGTTTTTCTCTGTGGAGCCCTGGTTGCCCTGGAACTTGGCTGCACTTGAACTCACAGAGATCCTCCTGCTTGTGCCTCCCAAGTGCTGGAATTAAAGGCGTGTGCCACCACCCCCAGCTCTGTGCAAGTTCATAAACTGTTTTTTTTTTTGGGGGGGGGAGATGGTAAAAAAAGGGATATATATGTAAATATATAATTATATATAATATAAATATATATGCACATATATGCATGCGTACATACATGTACTGTGAAAAGCTATAGTGGGGTTTGGGGTGAAAATGAAACTCAGATGGTGGCATATGCTCTTCGGCCTGTGTTCCTGTAGTCCCCTTTCTTTATGTGATTGAGTGGAAGTCATTTCAGTTTTCACTCCGGCCTCCTACTTCTGCCTTCTTGGTTTACAGGTGAGGAACAACTACAGACATCACTTCCTTTCTTCCAAAGCTCGAAAGGTTGCTTATGACGTGGTTACCTGGGCCGCCACTCAGTTGGCTGTCTCTTACACAGCAGCGCCCTTTGTCATGTTGGCCGTTGAGCCAACCATCAGTTTATACAAGTAAGTTTCCAGTGTTCTCAGGTGAGGCCTACAGTTGATGGCTAGGACATTTGTCTTCTTTTGACTTCAGAGTTGTATCAAGGATTGCTAACTATGACTTGCCTGTGAAAATGCCTGTACAAGTTTTAAGAGGAGATGGCTGTCCCAAAGTTACCAGCATGAGCTCCAATACCTGTGATGATGGTTGACAAGAACCTCTTCAGTCATCTCTAATGTTGTGAAAGGGCTCTTGTGGCTGTGCATTTAGAAGGGATAGATACAGAGAACAAACTCAGAGGATTCTTCCGGCAAGGTAGTGGCACACCTGTGATCCCAGCACTTGGGAAGTAGTCAGGAGGATCCTGGGTTTACACCTGGGCTGAGAGATCTTGTAGCATACAAAAGGTGAAAAAAGAACATGTAAATATGCTCCCCCAAACTCAAAGGGAGAATGCCCTGCCCTTGCTCCTTTTCCTAGGGATTGAGGTGTGCTGGAGAGGTGAGACACAGACAGGCTGAGGGGAGGTGCTAGGGCGTTGCTGCTCATTAGCTGACTTGCACAGCCTGCAGAAGCACTCTGCGTTTTGCTGAGATGTGAAGCTGGTGAGTGTGCATGGGAATTTATATTCCTAGATGTGCATGATGGCGGAGGATATGGGAACCAAGGGTGGGCATCAGAGATTTTAGGAAAAGGTCCGTCAGGCCTTGTATTTGAAAGTTTATGCTCCAAATTAATGTAATTTTATATTTCATGATCATGTTTAATTTTTTTTTCCAACTGTGGAGTGTATGAGCCTTTGACCTTGAAACTATAATTTCCCTGTAAAAGGAGGCCAAGAACACCTCAACCCAGCCCTCTTAGGAATGGGTGTGGGAACTGAGTGAGGAGCATGAAAGGCCACAGACCAGTACCTCTACACCGTGAATGCTAACATGCATTATTTAGTGGATTTCCAGATTAACTTTTGTGTGTGTGCATGAGGGTGTGTGTGTGTGTGTGTGTGTGTGTGTGTGTGTGTGTGTGTGTGTGTCTGTATCTGTGTCAGTGTATTTGGTGGCCAGAGGCTGCCATTTGGCCCAGAGCTTATGGAATAGGCCAGCCTGGCGGGCCAGTGAGTCCTAGGAATCCTCCTATCTCCACTTGTCTAGCACTGGGATGACAGGCATGTAATAAACAAGCACATACTTAGCTTTTTAACAGGTGTTCTGAGGATCAGACTCAGGTCCTCATGCTCATGTGATGAGTGAGCACTTGATTCAGCATCTCCCCAGCTCCAAGGTTAATGTTATTTAAATTAGAAACAATCGTATTTTACATACCAATCCCAGTTCCCTCTCCCTTCCCCCCACCATCCTCTCATCCCAGCCCCTGCCCACTCCCCAGGGAGGGTGGGGCCTCCCATGAGGGATCATCAAAGTCTGTAGCATCATTTGGGGCAGGACCTAGCCCCCTAACCCCGTCTAGGCTGAGAGAGTATCCCTTCATAGGGAATGGGCTCTCAAAGCCCATTTGTGCACTAGGGATAAATATTGTTCCACTACCAAAGGCCCCATAGACTGCCCAAGCCCCCCAAACTGACATCCATGTTCAAGGGACCTGGTTCAGTCTTATACTTGTTTCCCAACTGTCAGACTGGGGTCCATGATCTCTTCCTTGTTCAGGTCAGGAGTTTTTGTAGGTTTCCCTAGCCTGGTCTTGACCCCTTTGCTCATCACTCCTCCCTCTCTACAACTGGACTCTGGGTTCTTTTTTTAAAAAACATACTCCAGTTATAAAGGTTGACATAGAAATGAACAATGCCGTTGTTGATGCTCACAGAATGGAGCCCAGCAGTGTTGTGTAGACATGTTGATGCTTTGAACTAAAGGAACCAAAATCTCTCTGGCTGCTTCCCAGTCCCTGCCTCTTTTTTTCTCCTAAACTGTGAGACGGAGCTGCCCCTGAATGTCCTCATTCTGAAGCCTGAACATTTTGGAAGATCAGCTTTCAGACAGAATAGATTTAACACTGCATCCAGAGCGCATGTAGAATTTTCTCAGCCTATTCTCCTGGTCATATTTTGGCTAAGCCTAGTCCAGGTGATTAGGTGATCATTATGACTCTGCCCCTGCATCCCTCCCCCAGCCCCAAACTCTGCACCAGTATTGGGATTACAGGTACATATGGACATAACCAAATCCCCAGCTTTTTTTTTTTTTTTTTTTTTTTTTTTTTAATATGTATGCTGGGGATCTAAGCTCAGGTCCTTACGCTTGCACAGCCAGCACTTTCTCTAGTTCTGACTCACTCTAAAGAGAGCCACTTAATCGAGTAAAAAGAAATTCAAATGCTGTGACCATTTAGAGGAGGGGACAGTAGTTGCCTTGCAGATCTATAGCTTGTTTGGGGTTAAGTTCAGCAGCCAGCAGTGAAGGACAGCTATGTACAAATTCATTTCTCAATGGTCTCTATCATTAGCTTTTACTCTTGCTTTCCGGAAGTCCTACCACCCAGTTCCTAAAGAGGCTTATTCTTACTTAATGAATGCCTGCCCTTAGCTTGGTTTGTTTCTACCCAGCTTTTCTTAAATTATCCCATCTACCTTTTGCCTCTGGGCTTTTATCTTCCTCTATTTCTGCGTACCGTCTTTTTAACTTTTTATTTATTTATTTATTTTGGTTTTTTCAAGACAGGGTTTCTATAGCTTTGGAGGCTGGAACTAGCTCTGTAGACCAGGCTGGCCTCAAACTCACAGAGACTTTTTACTTTTTACTCTGTGGCTTGCTCTGTAGCTGGGTGGCTGACTCCTGAAGTCCTCCTCCTTCTCTTACTCCTCGGTCCTTTCCTGATTCTTGATCTTCTCACAAATTCTCCTCCTATTTATTCTCTCTGTCTGCCAGCCCCACCTTCCTCTCTCCTGCTTTATTGTTGGCTGTTTAGCTCCTTATTAGCCCAATCAGGCGTTTTAGACAGGCAAAGTAACATAGCTTCACAGAGTTAAACACATGCAACATAAAAGAACGCAACACATCTTTGCATCATTAAAGAAATGTTCCACAGCACAAGCAAATGTAACACATCTTAAAATAACATTCTACAACATGAGGCTGTTCTCATAAAATTTACCAAAAAATGAGAAAAGAAAAAAGAGACCTATGAAATTATTTGAAAGCCCAGTATTCATACACTCACTCATTATTAAACAATGCTTTTTTGACTCAATATCTAAGGATGTTAGAATTTGGCCTGGGATTGCTCAGCAGGTTGAAAGTTGAGGACCTGAGTCTGATCTTGTCTTAGTTAGGGTTTCTATTGCTGTGAAGAGACATCATGGTCATCACAACTCTTATACAAGAAAACATTTAATTGGGTCTGGCTTACAGTTTCATAGGTTTAATCCATTACCATCATGGCAGGACATCGCAGCATGCAGACAGACATGGTGCTGGAGAAGGAGCTGAGAAGATCTTCAGGCATCAGGAAATAAACTGTGTCACTGTGTCACTTGAGCATGAGAGACCTCAAAGTCTACCCCACAGTGACACACTTCCTCCAATAAGGCCATACTTACTCCAACAAGGCCACAGCTCCTAATAGTGCCATTCTCTATGAGCTTATGGGGCCAATTACATTCAAACCACCACATTACACTGCCTAACACCAATAAACTTGTAACAATATTATAATACAAAATGCACTTAGTTCAAAGTCTCTTCTGGGAGTCATGCAATCTTTTAACTATAATTCCCTTATAAAATCAAAAAACAAATTACATACTTCCAACATATAATGGCACAGGATCTATATTACCATTCCAAAACATATGGAAGGGAGCATAGTGAGGAAATACTGGACCAAAGCAAGACCAAAAACCAGCTGGGAAAACTGTGTCTCATGTGTGATGCCAAAATGTTCTTCAGATCCCCAGCACCCGCATAAGAAGCTGGATGTGGCAGCACATTGGTAATCCCAGAGCTGAGGAGTCAGAGACAGGAGGATCTCTGGGGCTTGCTGTCTAGCCAGCCAAGCCTAATTGGAGAGTGTCAGGCTAATCAATGAAAGACCTGACCTTAAAGGGAAGTGGATAGTGTTTCTAAAGACCAACTGAGCTGGTCCATTGGCTTTTACACACAGATGCACACATAAGCAACACACACACACACATACACACACACAAAGGCTAGCATTTGTAAGTAGCTTTTATAAATAGCCAGCTCTTTGAGAACAGACACCTTTTATACCTAGAGTACCAAAATAAGTATTGAGTGTGCTCAATAGATGATATCTGATTTGACACTTGCTATAATTGTAAGATGGAACATTCCACAAAGTTTTGGAGGAGATATGAACTGTCAGAAAAGGTCACTAAACTTTATTAGGAGAATAAAATTTTCTTTTCTTGATTGTGTATTTGGATTTAAGTTAACATAATTGCCCCATGTCCCACAGGAAAAGGGGCAAAGTGGAAGGACAAAGTGTCTTAGTTGTGTTTGCTTTAAAGTTGTGGTTTACTATAGCCCTGCCTATGACCTCTGAGAATCCAGTCTATGCCCAGGGATTTTCTTGAGAGGCCCCCTTTAGTCTGTGTTCTTTATTCACTAAGTTCAACTATCGATTGCTACTCCTTGTTGTTTAAATAGCTGTTCATAATACCCTCTGATCCATAGGCTGAGAATATTTTTAAGACACTGTGTCATACTGATGTCTCTCTCATGATTTTTTTTTTTGAAAAACATAAAGAAACACCTGCACCCCAGGTAAAAAACAAGGTATAGATTAAAGAAAGACTCCTCAAGTTTAGATGGGTGAGTCAGTTAATTTATTGGGATTATTTACCAGACCATCAGTGATGTGCCTGTTGGTTTCACCACTGAAAAACAAAACTACAGTTAGTTTTGTATATCTAGTATCCTGAGCATGGAAGGGGAAGTGATTGGAATCTCAGGGAAACATTAGTATCCAATGAGGGAGTATAAACATCCCCTTATCATTTCTGTTGTGTTGTTCTGTTTATACACCATCATTACTGCACATCAGGGTCTTCTGTAGGTCATTGCAGCCATTCTGCTTCAAGACAGGGCTAGTCCAGAGGTTGAGTCCAGAGGAATCTGGGCCTATGGTGGAACATGTACAGAACTTTCCACTTGAAATTTTCCTCTGGCCATTTACAATGAATTCGGTTTTCTGAGTATACTTCAGGTGGTTAAAAGCATAGAGGAGGCTTGTATAGACTTGATGTAAGCATTGTATTGCTGTATAAAGGAAATGGAGTGTCTGGAGATTTGGGCATAAGCAAGTGCCCTGGGACTGATGCCCTATTGGTACCAAAGGACCACTGTGCTTTTCCTGTTGCTCTTCTCCCAGGGGACAGGGCAGAAATTGGTTTTTTTTTTTTTTTTTTTTTTTGTTTTTGTTTTTGTTTTTTTTTTTTTTTGTGAAAATCCAAGTTTAGTACTTTTTGGCATTTTTTTTTTTTTCCTTTCTAAGTGCTGAGAATGGAAGCCAGAGCCCCACACGTGACAAGTGCTCCACCAACTCTACCACTAAGCTGTTCCCTGGCCCTGGGCTTCATCCATCTTTTCAGTTGGTGTTTAAGGAAAAGATGGGTGAAGATACATCAGTGCCCTTGACTACCCTATAAGCATTTTTAGGGAACCATTCCTCTTGCTGAAGGTGGAGCAGCTTAGGGTAGATCTGAGTTATTTAGCCTTGTTATTACTGAGGAATGTTCCTTGCATCAGTTACGGATCCCTTGTCTTTTAACTGTTTTTCTTTTACTATTTAGAGAACATTGGAGTGGTTGGGGATACAGCTCAGTGACGGAGTGCTTGCCCAACATACCCAAAACCTGAGTTTCAGTCCTTTCCATCAAGAGAAGGGGCATAAGAAGAGAGAGGTGGGGAGAGACAGAGATAGGGAGAGAGACAGAGAGAGTAAAATCACAAGAAAATGGGGTTGAGGGAGCTGACTAAAGTATTAGTTTAGCATTTCCAGTAGATCTGGAATAGTTATGCTAACAAAAACAATTTCTAGTTACATGTATTTATTAAAAGGTTGTGCCCAGCGTTTACCTGGTATTTGCACCGTGCCAATGGCAGTCAGCATTTGTCAAAAGTAAAATTTGCTTCTCATTAGTTTGGATGGAAATTATTTTCAAGCTCTAAATGGAGTTTTCAAAATACAAATCGTGGATCAGTGAAATGGCCCAGCCACTAAAAGCTCGTGGTGTGCAAGCCTGACAACCTGACTTTGATCCCAGGAACCCATGCTAGGAGAGAACTGACTCCTAAAGTTGTCCTCTGACTACATGTGTACTGTGGCAATTCTTTGCAAGTCTCCCCACAGCAAAATGAAAGTGTTTTTGTTGTTGTTGTTGTTTTTGTTTTTAAAATCAGGATCCTTGCAGTTCCTAAGGTAGACCAGAACTCTCCAGTCTTGAGAGATGTGCCTGTGCTTGTGACTAGAGGACAGAGAGGGCTTCATGAGCTCTGCCATCCTCACCTTTTGAACAGCAGAAATGTCTGGTTTCACACAGCTAATTCTCTTGGTCTGATTATGTCAAAGGGGCAGTGCTGTATCTGTCCATCATGCCTCATCCAGCTATGTGGTTTCAACTATCCTTGGTACCCCTGCTTACTTAACAAAATGAGGAGTACATGGCTAGCCTGAGTCATTGCAAATGATTGTTACTGCTGCTATAGAGCACTGTACCAAGCTGACGGAGGGTGTTGGGATTGAAACACTTAACACACCACCACAAGAAGTGCCATTTATTACAGAGAGTAGTACCCAAGCCAGGGGATGGGCTAAGCATAGGAGAAAATCATGCACCATCCACACCTGGGGTCAAGGCAGGGGCACTGCACACCGGAAAGTTATGAGAACAACCTTGTTTGATCAATCTTGAGAGCACAGGAGTTCTACAGCTGGGTGGGGAGGAATGGAGCTGTAAAGGAAAAGTACTTAAATTTCCCAACAGAGCACAATGCCTCCTCTTGCCCCACTGAAGATGATGCCATCATGTATGTTATATGCTTTCTGTTTATGTCCATCTTTGAAAGGCAATTCTTGTGTTTTTACTTCTAGGTCTATGTTCTTTTTCTTACACATCGCAAGTCTGCTGATAATCCTTTTCCTGCCAATCAAACCACGCCAGCCTCAAAGTGCAAATTGTATAAAGAAGAAGGTGGATTGATGCCCACAGAGGGAAGCTGAACAAGAGAATTGCAGGACATTGGGAAGACACAATAGACAGGCTTGAGGGTTCTCCAGTGACTTAAAGGAGATGTTTACAAATGTTCTTTTTTCAATGCAGGGAATATTTTTATGTCTTTTTTTTTTTTTGTACAGTTAAAAATCGCCATTTTTAGGTTTGTCTTCATATTTTACAGGGCCTTTCAGTGACACAGTGTAGAGAACAAGCCACTGGGTCAGCTCTTCTGAAATCATTTTCATCTGTTGAAATCTGGATGCTTGGATCCAGGCATTGCCTCCAGTACTTAGGAGGTATCTGCTGAGACGACTTGTCCTAGATTTCTGAAACCAGAACATTCCCAGTCATGATTTTCCCTGGCAACTCTGGACCTTTGGTGTGACTTACTTGGTTGTGGACACATCTCCTATGTCCAGAAGCCCTTAAAGGGAAGTGATATGGAGGGATGTTTTTAGGGTATTAAAAAAAAAAAAAAAAACAAAAAAAAAAACAAAAAACAAAAAACTTCACAAACAGGGAGGATTATCCCTGAATGCTTGAATGGATTGGTGTGCCCCCAAACAGGCCACATTATTTCTGCCAGGAATGTATTGTTCCCCTTTTTCCTTCTGAACTGAGCCAAGATCGGAAATCAGAAAGTTTCCTGCCAGGAGCTGGGGTGGGGGTGGGGGACTACTGGTTTCCATTTCACCTGCTTTGATCTGCTTGACTTGACCTGTGTTGGCCCCGAGAAGGCATCCAGACACTGATAATGTCAAAGGTGGCTGAATGCCTTTTCAAGGAAATAATTGCTTTCAGTAGGTAGAGGCTCTCTCTTTTTTCCCTGCATGTCTTGGAAGTGTCAGTGATCATGGCCAATGTGTAGACACATGCTGATTTTTGTAATGGAGTAAATTCAGCTTTATTATAAGTAAACTGTCATATTGGGAGCTGCAGCAGAATGGCAGCACTCTACTCTGTCTTCATTTTGAATGTTCGGTGGCTCCTTTGGACGGTTTCCACTGGGTAAAATAGTCTATGAAAGAGGGAAACATAATATTTAAAATGTGGAAAATAATGATAATGATAATAATAATAATTGTAATAGTAATAATAATAATAATAATAAGATTATGCTTCAGTGATGTGTCCTGGGAGCTGAAAATTTGTTCTGATCAGTTGATGAAAAAGTTAGTTTCTCACTGAATAAATAATATATTTCTATTTTAGGAAATGATTCCTTGTGGAAGAATTGTTTCTTGCTTGAGTTGACTTGGGTATGTTTTCACATATGTGTGCACAGGTGAAGTTTTCTTTGTCTTAAGTTTTAGCACTGTGGTGTGGCCAGTGTTCACTGTGTGTCAGGAATGGGGATAGTTTTGATTTCTTTATATGATTTCTTATCTTCATTCACAAGCACTATAAGTATGGCTTATTTCCCCTACAAACAAGGGTCTATGGATTACAGACACTAGCTAGTAGCCCTGTGTCACAGAATTTGTGATGTAACTGAGACTTCAATCCAGGGCACTCATGTGTGAGCTACTAGCCATGGGCTTTTCTATGATGTACCCTTCTGGTACATCCAGGAAGTCTAATACCTTGACTTTGAAAGCATTTATTTATCAGTCTTGGTGCTGGGTAAGGGGACACTAGTCCCTCCTTGGGGTATCAGTGGGGGATTGGTTCAAGAACCACTTCCTAATTCCAGAATCTAAGGATGATCAAGTTCTGTACATAAAATGGCACACAATTTGCATAAAACTTATGTATTTTAACTGTGTATTTTAATTAGTCTTAGGATTGCTTATCATAGCTAATATTGGGTAATTTGCTGGTATAGTGTGATGTTTAGGAAGGAGAAAGATGCCTATATGTGTTCAGTGTAGTCATCACCTCTCACAACAGCACAGAAACAGGAACAAATGAGCCAGCAGGAAGCCAGAGGAAGTAGACACCAGAAGCTGAAGGTGATGGGGAGAATCAACAACCAGTGGCAGATTCCTTGCATGCTACAGCTGAGCAGCAAGGATCAGAATACCCTGGTCCACTTCCTCCACGGTTAAGTCGTAGGAACCCAGTGTATGAGGCTCATTCCATTTTAATCAGGAACTCATGGGACAAGCCCGCCTTAGAATCCTAAGAACAGTGTTTGTGATATAGAGTGGGACATAGGTAGCTAAAACATACCAGAGCCTCCAACAGGAACATTGTGAGGTACAAACATGAAAAGAAATTCACATTGAAGAGAGCCGTAACGATTAGGATTGGCACAAAGCGTGAGTGATCCATACAGAGAGAAGTTCTTTCTTAGCAGCCTTCCCTACGTAAGTGTCTTCTTAGAGAAGAACCTTGCTGATGGGCAGAGAGGCGGCTGCTGGGCAGCTAATTCACTTCAGTGAGGCTTTTCATCAGCTCTGAAGGGACAACACACAGAAGGGAAAGTCAGCCTTGTTCTCCAAGAATGCTTTCTCTTGAGGACCAGGGTTTTAACTCATCATTGGAACTATATTTGTTGCCTTAGATTTCCAGGTTGTCTATAATGTAAGGTGTGTTTAATAAAAATGAGTTGAATGTGGGTGGGGAAGGTTGGGTTGAAATTAATACATTTTCTTTTGTTTTGTTTTTTTGTTGTTGTTTGTTTTGTTTTTTTGTTTTTAAAATTGAAAAAGGTCTCCAAGAGCTATTTCAGGACACCCTCCAAAGCCACAGAGAAACACTGTCTCAGAAAAAAAAAATGTTTATGTTTTTGAGTGTTTGTCTGCATGTATGTATGAGTACCATGTGTGTGCCTGGTACCTTCAGAGGGCAGGAAAGGACATGGATTCCATGGAACTGGAGTTACTGATGGTTGTGTGAACCTGGGCCCTCTGCAAGAACAGCAGTGCCCTTAACTATTGAGCCACCTTTCCATCTCCTGGTTTTATTTTATTTTTAAAGACAAATGTAAAATAGTCTGTTTTAGTTTTTTTGGTTTTTGTACTTGACTTTTTAGGTAACCCCAAGTAAGGATGATATTCAGTAGTTGAGAAAAGCAGTAAGGAATTCAGTCTGGGATTCCAACCAGTTAAGAGGGAAGGCTGGGACAGGAACATAGGAATTGACAGTTATTCCTGGAAATGATGGGGCTCAGGCTATATGTTCCAAGCGTCTGGGCAGTGAGTGAATGACTCACTTTCTCACCTCTGATATGCATCTGAACTACTTAGAAAGCTTTAAAAAAAATCAATATCTTGTGGTAGAAACTTTATCTTTTTTCTTCCATTGTTTCTGGCACTTGGCATAGTGTCTGCTGTGTAATGAAGATTTAGTAACTGTTTGTTGAGTGAATGAAGGATTGAATGGATTAGCTTAATGCATCATTGCTCTTGACAGTTTTGATTGAGCCATGTTTGCACTGGGAAATGTTCCTGCTTTTCAAAATTAGATTTTGAGGTAAAGGCCTAAGTTTGTAGAGAATGCTGGAAGCACGCTATAGAGTGGGAGTGGGGTATCACTCAGACAGCTAGTTTACATAGTCCGAAAGCATATGCTCCATCCATTCCCTAATTTATGCATTTATTTACTTATCAGATGTGGTATTTGGTGTGGGCTTGATATTCTTAGACAGTGCAAGTAAAAGATGCCAGAGGATCATTCTCTGTCCTACACATTGATCCAAGAAAGGTAGGGTTCAGACTCTTGTACCACAGGGATGCCCTGGGGACATGCAACACTCCCAAATTAGAAAGCAGTTAGGTTGGTGACTTTACCCTTGCTTTTCTGCAAATTCCAAGCGGCTGTTTCTTATGGCCAGTGCTCTATCCAGGATAGCAGTTGTACCACCTTCCATCCTGCTGTCCAGAAAGTTAAGTCTGCCCTCATCTGAAGACACATTGACCTCAAGCAAACAGTCAGGGCATCAGCTGTGCCACCAAGCAGGCTCCACTTGCACGGCTGCCTGCAGAGGTAATTTCAGGCCCAGCAAGTGACTTCATGGGGCCCGTGAGGAAAGTTATTTTTCTAGAAAAGTCCTAGTGCACATGAGCTTTGTCAAACACCGTGTGTTTGCCTACTCCTGGCTGTGAAGAAGAGCAGAAACATCCAGGAGCAGCTTCTTCTTCCTTGTTTCCCCTCCTACAGTTCTGTGAACTTGGCAATGGCCTTGTCTGTGCAGAGATGGCAGCCAAGGCTCAGGAGCTACAGGTGTCGAGATGAAGTTACAACAGTTTCAGCTGGAGATCCAATCATCTTTTATTTGTGGTTCATTAGCCAAACAGCTTCTGGTGACCAAATAGAATGAGCTATCGTGAGAAGGGCAGACAGCGGGTCTATAACCTAGAAACAATGGGAAATCTGGGGAACATGAGGTTGCTTCAGGTTATTTATATTTTTCTAACAAGTGAAGCATGGGGTGTTTCCTAAGATACAGAAGCAGGTCGATTGGAATTTTATTTTAGGAAAAACAGACCTGTTTGGAAATCTACTGGCTTCCTTAGCATGGCTGATTGCATTCTGGTTTGATAAGGATTATTAGTGCCTTGTGTAAAAGCTCCGTTCAAAATGGTGACCTCCCATAAACTCTACTTAACACAAGTAATAGGCCCAAGTTCACCCAGATAGTGGAGGAACTGGGATTGGGATCCTGGATGGGCTGAGCCAAGAGTCTACTTTACATCTGCCCTGCAGAGTGTGTTTTCAGAGCAACAGACACCTTTGGAGCCAAGAGTAACTCTAGCACTCACCTGGCCCACAGGTTTCCAGGTGTACGTTAGCTGACCCTGCCACTTGGAACTTGCAAGGGGTAGAGAAATTGATGTGCTGTGGAAGTTCATGCAACCACTTCCACATTGGAGCAAGCCATTCAGGGCGGCAAGATTCTGTGTTCCTGGACCACAGTCACTCAGGCTCAGAGTAATCTTCCCATATTCCATTTAAATCGAGAGCTGTTTTGCAACGGAGGTTAACCCTCACCTCCACTTTACAGGAGGGGAACTAAGGAACTCCAGGAGGAGAGGAGGAGAGTGGAAGCCCAGCTGGCTAGTTAGCTGATGTTATAGATACAGATATTCGGTCAACACCTTTGTTCCTAAAGGCCCTTTTGTTTACTGTGATGCTTGATGTATTTGGAGAGATGTAAAGGTTGAAGGTTTCCCTAGACTTGGGTTATTTGAAGCCTGTTGTAGAAAAGCAAGTTAGGTTTCTTGAAATGAATGACACTGGGAGGTCTAAGCATGGAACACCGAGGAACAGAGCAAGGACATGACAGAAGAAGTTTAAGGTCCAAGGAGGAGAATACCTAGTAGGTAGCCTGGTCTGGTGACCTTAAGCACAGGAAGGCATCTAGTTGCTGGGTTGTTTGTGTCTTAGCTAGAGAGACTTATTTTTGCAGTGCTGAGACCTCATGCCTGCTGGGCA